TACTTTGCGAGGTAATTTACTTTGCGAGACATATTTTTATAATAGGTGGGTGCTAAATCGCTATTACTGGGCCTTATTAACAAAAAAAAACGTTCTTACGTTTTTTTATTTTTTTTTATTTTTTATTTTTTACGCTTTTGTATTTTTTTATTTTAATTGATCATTTTCATAATTTCGAAAGTATAATTAGTCTAAAATGAGCGTAAAAAAATGAACAAGCGTCCTATTTAGGGACATTATGGTCGTCAATTAATTCATTGTTTTTGAGAATTCGGTTGTAAACAAAATTTATGAAAGTAAATGAAGATTGTAGAATAAATATATTTACTACATTTACACCCGGTTATAGATAAAATTTAATAAAATGATAAAAATTATTTCGACTCTTTATTATATATTATTTTTATATGGATTGTTTTTTTTTCCAATAAAAACGAGCAAATGCTTTTTGTTAGCATTCCTAAAATAATAGGTGGCGTCACTATACTATACCGGGAAATTATTACCTATCGGGAAAGCTGTATGTTAGTTAATTGTCTTTTGTGTTTTTAAAGTTTTTCAAATAAGCAAGAAAGAGAAAGAGATGAAAGAGATGTCCAACTTATAAAAAAATTACGCCACTACATTGTGATATATTTGTAGTATGTATTTGTGTCATATATCGCTGATGAATCAAGTTTTGTCTTGTGTGTAACGTTGTGTTGTCAAAAGAGGTTATAAATTCTTTAAAAATTCAAAAAATTATTGCTAAACAAACACCCAGATAAGATCAATTGGACAATTTCTGCGTTCCAGAAAATGAAAGACAGTTTTGGAAAGCGTATAACACTGCCAATGTTTGCTTAAAAAGCAAACAATTTTATTGAGAACGGTCTCATTGCTTCCTACAAAATTTCTAAGTTAAAACCGAAATTTAGTATGGCACATACAGTTTGGTGAATAGCTGATTTTACCTACAGCGTCGGAAATATTGTCAACTGTATTTAAATTGGATACTAGTAAGTTAAAATCAGTTCCTCTTAGCAATAACACTGTATTTCTCAGCAATAACATTATATTTCTTAGCAATAACACTATATCTCTTAGCAATTTCGTCGCATTTATGAAGTGAGATGAAATGAGTAATAATATTAAGTTTGAACCTAAAACATCAAGAAATGGATTTTGGTATTCAGCCTCATGAATCCTCTGTCTGTGATAATCAGGTTTTGTTGCTAGCTTATCTTCGATTTGTAAAGGATAAAAAAAAAAAGGAAGAAACGTTGTTTAGCCATCGACTGGAAACATTTTGCCACGGAGAAAATATATTTTAAATCTCAAAGATTATTTGAACTTAAATGGCTTATCAATTCCAAATATAATTTTTTGTGCCACAGATGGAGCTCCAACTATGATAGGTTGTTACAAAAGTATGATAGGTTGTTACAAAAGTATGATGGGTTGTTACAAAAGTATGATGGGTTGTTACAAAAGTATGATAGGTTGCTACAAAAGTATGATAGGTTGTTACAAAAGTATGATAGGTTGTTACAAAAGTATGATAGGTTGTTACAAATAGGTTAGGATAGGTTGTTACAAAAACTTTGTGAGTTGTATGAAAATAAAAACACCTGTTGGCGATACACTGGGTTTTTCATAGGCAGTATCTTTGTGCCAAAAATCTCAGTGGGAGATGATCAGTCTTAGTTTGGTTGTTTGGTAAACAACAATTATGTAATGCAAACGATCAACAATTTGAAAGGCTGCTTTTGCATACAGAGATTCAGTAGCTGTTAAAAGGATCATGTCTCAAAAGATCTTTCAGTCTTTATGACACCAGAGGCAATTCAACGAATAAAATAAGGAGGGGGGCGGGTGAATTCTTAAAAAATACTGACCGGCATAAGAAAAAAAAAACTAAAACTTAATTTGGAGGTAAATTAATAGATAGCAGCATTAAAAAGGTTGTAAACACTGCTCTAAACTCTGGAGAAAGTTTCAGTCTGGTATTGGCAGTTTTAGTTTAATATTTATTAGTTTTTTGCTATTTATACCTCGAAACGTTACCGATTAGTGTGATATTTGGTCACATTTTCAAAATAATGGTTATACGTGCTACGATGTAATACCAACAACATTTATTATAACTGCTTTCAATTTAAAAAACTTGGTCAACGAGCTACCAGTTAGAAAAACAAACAGAAATTCTCTGTTAATAAATATTTGATTGACTTTTAAAATTTTCTAAAATACATTTACTTTCAAAATTTATGAAAAAAAAAACTATTTAAAACCTACTTTTTAAATTGAATTACCATCAAATGGCATCTAATTACATTTTAAGACATGTTCTTTGATTTACTCCACAAAATATTTTTTAACAAATAGCTCAATATACTCTTTTAGTACAAATACTCTAAATTATAAATTATAAAAAGCAACCATAATAGTAATTAGAGAAAAAAAAAGAGATGCAACATTAAGACAATGGGAGAAAAGCTCAAACTTGGTAGATAGAGCAGGTTTTTTTTAAACAAGGTCCAAAAACGCATAACAAATTACGTTTGCAATGTGTTTTTAGACCTTGTATAAAAAAGAAAGAGCATCAAAAAAACCAGCCTAAATGACAACAGTATTTCATACAGGGACAAATTAAAAAATTTTAGATGTAGAGAATGAAACCAGAAGTAAGAAAATGGCAAGCGTAATAAAGAAAAGCAACATTAGTGGATGTTAAGGTTGCTAAATTAAGAAAGGCAACCATGAGGTTGTTTCTCTTTATTGTTATGATATAGTTGATAATATAGTTTCTATTTATTGTCTGCTATAGCTGCTTGCAGTAAATATCTGATTTTTTTTAGAGTTTAAGTTTAAAACCCACGGCTAGCCCCAGTCTGCTTTATAACTGAAATTAGATTCACATATTCTAAGCAATCAAAAAGAGGGGATTTTTTTGTCAGGACAAGATTATAAAGTTGAAGGAAGATCATTAATGCAAAGAAGAAACAAAAACAAAACAAAAGAAGAAACAAAACAAAAGAAAAAACAAAACAAAAGAAGAAACAAAACAAAAGAAGAAACAAAAACAAAGAAAAAACAAAAACAGGACCAAGAATAGAACATTGTGATACCCCAGAAGTTATTGGAAATAAAATAAGGTGAGGGGCGGTGTTTTGGCAATCGAGGATGACTTTAATAAAGCGGTTAAAAAGAAATGATTAGATGACCTCAAAACCTTTGTCAGAAACACCATATGAAGTAAGTTTAAGGAGAAAACCCGCATGCCAAATTTCAATAAAAACTTCAGATATGTTAAGAGCATAAGCCCTAACCTTGTCGCCTCCAATCTAATGCAAATAGAACATTCAGTTACAACAGTTAGTAAGTCAACCGTAGAACAAAAAGACCACACACCGTATAGATTGTCTGACAGTAAGATATTTAACTCAAGATGGGATATTATTTTGTTTATTGATTTATAAATCTTGCTAGTAATGAAGAAAAGGCTGATTGGACAATACCTTTGTAAGACCCCTCCCCCTCTCCCGATTTTGTTAGTTTTTACTTGTTATCAACAAAAACTTCATATTTCAAATTTAAAATATGAATTCAGTAAAAATCGGCCTAAAAAATGGAAAATAAATATTTCAGTCACCGATAAAAACAAAAACTTTCAGTGTAAACAGAGTTTAAAAATCGTAGTAAAAAATATTAGTTTAAATATTTAAATCATAAACTATAAATACGTATTTAGATTTTTTTTAGATTCCCACTCCCTTCTTTTTTTTACCTTCTTGTTTTTTTGTTCGTGTCCGTTCAAAAACATTAGGAGTCGTGAAGAAACCATATCTTAAATTTTCATTATTCTATGCCATGTTTTAAATTATAGTTGATTAAAAAATAACTTTAGAATTTCTAAAAAATGATTATACAGCAACTGCGGCGCATTGGTTAGAGCGCCGCAGTAGTTAGAGCGCTTGCTTTAGAAGCAAGAGATCTAGAGTTCTAAGCAAGCTCTGGGCATATTTCGCACTACCGGTAAAGAAAGAGGTTTGAACTTCCTAGCTTAATAAATTTCTGATGTACTCGGTGGCAAAACCAATAGGTCTTCTTGGAACATTTAAAGCAAAAAACGTTTTTATAACTTTTTTATATTTTTATAAAAAATATTTTATTTAAAACTTATAAAAGTTCTTGAAAAATTTATTTTTTATTTAAATGTGTTTTTAAAATCCAAATTCAGCTTTCAGTTAAATTCGGTTTAAAAGTTTAAATTCGTTAAATTCGGGCTACATATACGGCTTAAATTCCTCTTAGTTAAATTCGGTATACGCATATGATTTAAATTTGTCTTTCATTTAAATTCGAGTCTTAAAAAGTCAACTTCGCCGGTCCTTACTGGAGATTGATACATTTTACATCTGCCAAAGATGAGTATCTTTATTGAGACACTATTTCTAACTTTTACTCAACTAAGAGACCTAAGAATAGAATATTGTAATTTAGATTTTAACTCTCTAAGTCTTTGTCTAAAAAAATTAAAACTTACAAGGCAGCAGGACATGGGGCAGCTAGTACTAGGTTACATGATGCGAGTAGCAGGGTGATTGTAATGATCCTGAACCTAACCTGATCTGACCTGAAGTAGTTTAAAGGAGTTACTTCCTGTTTGCAGTATCTTAAACATCCAGTATCATAAATATCTTTTGAGACATTTTGTAAAAGCCTTGGGAAAAAACATAATATCTAACAAAATACTATATTATGAAGTTAATTATGTAGCGCAGCAACCTTTCTTTGAACCATGAGTATGATTGTTGTTTCGTTAATAGCTTGACTAATGTTGATAAAAACCTTTATAAGTGGTTTGGTCAGCTTTTTCGCAATAGATCCCTAAAGGAGATCCTTTGTGACTGATGATATCCTTGATGTGATAGAAGACGTAAATCTTGGGTGTTACGCTTGCACCAGTTATTATGAAGTAACGCATTTTGAAATTTTTATTTTTTTCGACTGAAGGAACCCAAAGCAAGCCTTGAAAACTAGATTAAAACTTTTAAATCCTTCAATTATGTGAACGATATTTGGAACCATGTTTTCATCAGCCAGTTGCTGCAGTAGATCCACATTTTTATAAAACTTTCTACATTAATTTCCTTTAAACTGGCCCCCATGATATTGGCTCAGTTAAATGTGGAGTGTAGCAGGCCGCCTAAGTTTTAAGGATCTTAGATTTTTCATAACTCATAAGAGAATATGCAGTTTCATTGGTGGGATGATTTCCAAAATAAGAAAATTTTCAAGCCCGCAGATGGTTGCTTTTTGAATGAAATTGCTGAATAACTTTGCTTTTGCCAAAATACCGTTAGATTTCTGAAAAGACTCAAAGCTAGATTTAATTAAGCCCGTTGTTCATAAGTTTTCAGATTTGGCAAGACACTTGACGTCAAACCATGCACAAGGGTACATACTTGAATGAGTTTGAAGACCACAAATTGTATTTGAAACTTTTATATCACAAGCCAAAAATAATGCAAATGGAGTTAAACTATTATTAGAAAATTAAGTTTTTGGCAAGTTTTTTGATCCTACATCAAATAATTGTCTTTACCAGTCCTTTGAGTAAGAAGTTGTTGTTGTGGCTGTTAGCGGGTTTATTTTTTAACGCAATATTGACAATGCTATGACAAAACGTAAAATAACCTTTGCCACCATCAGTTCTTAGCTTAACAAAATAGCGACCAGAAAATATTGGAGATTGAAGAACGTGATTCACAAGACAATAATTACGTTGAGCAACAACCCGAGCTGTACCAGAATCTGCTCTTTTTTTTTCTAGATAAAATGCAGCTTTAGGTGATAACTTACATTTTGAATGATTTTTTTAATCAACCGAAGCAATGTTAAAAGTATCAATAAACGTATCAATAACATGTATTTTTATAACATGTATTTTTATAACATATATTTTTATAACATGTATTTTTATAACATGTATTTTTATAACATGTATTTTTATAACATGTATTTTTATAACATGTATTTTTATAACATGTATTTTTATAACATGTATTTTTATAACATTTATTTACATTCAGCATGTGTTACACTTCTACCTAATATTTATCTTTTAAAACTAAACTTTTTTTTAGTTTCTGAACTGTTATTATTCCAGATTCACCTAAGTTTCATCTACGTTCTAAAACATATTAATACTGTGATTATCAACAAGTTTAAAAAATTGATTGAAAAATACTTACAGAAATCTGTGGCTTCTGCAGTAGAGGTTGGTTCAGATAATCTCAAACTAGGATTGGTATTGTATCTCAAACTAGAATTGGTATTGTATCAAACTAGGATTGGTAATACCGCTTCATTCAAGGCTTTCCAAAAACTTTTCTGACTTTATGAGGTATTTTATTTTTTTAACCAATTTAAAATGCTAATTGTCTAAGGTCTATTACATTTATTTCAAACATACTAAAATTTGTTTTTGTTAGATTTAGGCTCTTTCTCAATTTTAGAATAAGTATGCCACATATTAAAATAAGTATATATAAATGCGGTATCACGAACAAAGGGGGCTAACACATTCTTTAACAAATCTTTATTTTTTATTATGTATCTACAATACATAATTAAAAATAAAGATTTGTTAAAGAATGTGTTAATCATTTTTAAAAATTTTGACTTTTTATATATATTGTAACAGGTCACCATCAAATGACTTTTTTTAAATTTTGTTGTTCATTGGGTTTTAAAAATTTTATTATAAAATACAAGAATATATAGAAGAATACAGGGACATATAGAAGAACCTAAGTTTTTGTCGTTGAGAACAAAAATTCACATGTAAAAAACTTCATTAAAATTTTACCATCTCAAAAAATGTAAAAACTAAATAAGACATTTAAAAAATAAATAAATTCAAAATATAACATAATTTTTTCAAGAATCTAAGTCAATAGCAACATTTAAAAAAAGATCCATTAAGTATATTATAGCTTCAGATAAAAGGTAATACAACTGATTTTGATAAATAAATAAGTTTTTTGATTTATAGAGGGTAATAAAGGGCATTATTAATTATCAATTGTAATAATGAACTCTTTAAATTTTTGTTTAATAGAACTTTTATTATGATGAACTCATAAAATGAAGACCTCTTGATAAAGGCTTTTTTCAACAATAGTATACTAATCTAAAAATACAATAGACGAAATATATATATATATATATATATTATATATATATATATATATATATATATATATATATATATAACATAATCAGCAAAATAAATAATAATATAAACGCTAGGAATCACAACAAACTCCCCATTTATATTGAAAAGTCAACTTACTAGTTTCATCATTTTAACATAAAGTTATCGGGAGCTTTGCAAGTTTTAGTAGAGCGTCGCAGAGTGTCAATGGATGACTCACTTATTGGGTTATTTACTTTAACTTTTGTTTCAGATTTAACTTACATCAGGACTTACATCAACTACTTCTGCAATTACATTTTTTCTATATTCTCGAATATTAGTAAAAGATAAAGACTTTTCTTGTGGGGCAGAATATGGTGTAAGATCTTGAAATGAAACAGCGACTCTCGTCCATCTAGGTAACTACTACTATCTACTAATTCGACTTAATCAACAAGATTATAATTTATCATATATGAATGATGAGCCTCTATCAAAATAAATGTAAAAAACCACAAAAAAAGAATATTTGATCTAAATATTTCGTTATGAAACCGTGAAACAGTTGTGAAATCTTGACATGGGATAGCAAATGGACTCCGGGAATATTCATCAATAACCTTAAATAATTATTTAGTTCTAAAATTGCAACGAATAAACGTAAATAAATACTTCATTCTAGAACTGCAAATAAGTATTTAATTCTAAAATGGTTCTTTAAAGTCTATTCTTTAAAGACAATTCATTTAGCTTATGGATTTTCCATAAATGATCTTTACAAATCATCAACTGATATTTGCATATTGATAAAACTTTGCTTTTATTTTTGAACAAATGCATTGAAAACAATCCTTATTGACATCTTCTGTAGAAATGGTAAGTTTTTAGATTTGATAAAGTGAAGCATACGAGTGACTCCTGGATGACACAGTTATGTATGCTGGATGACACGTTTAGGTTTGATTGAGGATGAGTTGCGACTTAAAAAGCACATGTAAGTGCATCAACCATATTATTGCTTCCAGAAGATTTAGTGTAACTAATCTCTGCTAACTCCATTGTCCAGCTCTGAATCTTACTATTTTTAATCTTTCTTTTCTTAACAGTAAACGTCGCCATTTTCGAACAGCGTCAATATTAGCCACAGCTTTTCTTTACTGCTGGATAATTAATTTTATTTATGTTCAAGACATAAAAGCAGCTGGGAAACCATTTCGATTCAAGGTAGCTGGTACTGCTACATCTTAGACATTAACAAAAGACTCTCATCAGTAGAACTCAAAGCTCTCATCAGTAGAACTCAAAGTGACAGTGAAAAAAAAGAAGAAATCTACTTTGAGTAATAAGAAAACATTTGACAAGGTTTTAAAACATCAGAAAGAGGAGGTAGTAAATCTTAAGTTCACCATCCGGATTTATATTGTAATGAACGACGCAAAAACCAATAATACTTATCAAGAATACTTATCAATGAAATTAAAAAAATTAACAAAACTTGAAAAATCTTTTAAAATATCTGAACTTATAATAGAATTTTCATTAATACCATACCTCGTATGATACAAACTTTCTTCTTTATTTGACTTATTTGAAGCATTTTTTAAACTTTTCGAATAAGAATTAAAAAAATTTAGATACAAAACTGAAAAAAAAAAAAAATAAGTTCATTAAAATTTTTTTAAATAAACTTTTAGGTTTAGGAGTTGTTATCTATTTAGGTTTGATCAAGATACAAAATATTTTTTAGGTTTGGCAACATTTTTGATCAAAAAAACGTCATTTACTTTAATAATCTTGGGCAAAAATTGTGATATCGTTTAAGTGTTTCCAGTAATATCTTTTATTAATTGTCTAGTGCGTTTTGAGTTGTATGCTTTTTTCGATTTGATCACATAATGACAACAGCGTAAAATCAGGAAACTACTACAAAAAAGTCCTATAGATTAAAAAAAAAGTTAAATATATATATATATATATATATATATATATATATATATATATATATATATATATATATATATATATATATAATATAAATATAAATACATATATATATATATATATATATATATATATATATATATATATATATATATATATATATATATATATATATATATATATATATATATATATGTATATATATATATATGTATATATATATATATATATATATATATATATATATATATATATATATATATATATATATATATATATATATATATATATATATATATATATATATATATATATATATATATATATATATATATAAAGTGTAATTAAATAGAAAAATACAACTTTATAATGGAACTAAAAGTTTCATGCCTATCGGCAATCTTCAGCCATATATATTTGAATATATATGGCTGAAGATTGCCGATAGGCATGAAACTTTTAGTTCCATTATAAAGTTGTATTTTTCTATTTAATTACACTTTATTTATATATATATTGATCTATTTTGTAAAAATTATTTTTACATTATATTGATCACTCTCAAGTAAACAAGAGGATTTGTATCTCAACCAGATACAATAATAAACAACAATATATATATATATATATATATATATATATAATATATATATATATATATATAGAATTCTATGAACAATAATAGAATTTTAAAGTATAAACAAATGTTTTTTTCATTGCGATTTCCAAAAGGTTTTTTAGTTATATAAATTCTCTTAACCTTGTGCAAATTATATTTAATAAACAAATGACAAATGTTTAAACATTTTGTTTGATTCAAAGAATATAGTTAAACAATGTATTTATAACCCTCAGTTGATGTCAGAGTTTATAATATTTGGCTGTTTAACGAAAAAAAGTCTAATTTGCGGACGTTTTGGATCAAGTTTTGATATATTTTTTTATTTCTTTAAAAAGCTTTTGGGAGTTTTAAAAACCATGACCGATATGGTCATAAGCCAATATGACCGCAGTGCACGGCGGTCATATTTACTAATAAGTCAAAAATGCAAAGGCTTTTAATGGTAAATGTTTGGCTTTCAATGACTAATTAGTCAAAAAATAACAACTTCATGATTCAGGAACAAAGTATCTGCAAGATCAGAGTTTTGAAAAGTGGCATTTCTTTGTAAGATTTTTTTTATGAAATGATGAATGCTCAGATCGTCGTTAGCTTATTTGAAAGATAAAAATAATGTATTTTGTATTTGCTGTTGATTTACCTCAGATTTAATATTAAAGTTGAATCAAAATTGAAGAAAGTAGCGATTGGAAAAACATGTCTAGCGTTCTAGCTGATAATGAATCGTCTATGAAGTACATTCGTGCTGTCAGCGTTTGGTTTGAGCTGGGAAATTGGTTGAAAGAATATAAGACAGCAGACAAAGAAAACCAAAAACTTGTCCAAAAAGAAACTCGGCACTGGAGCAATATTAAAAAAAAAAGTCATTTTAAACGTACAGTTTCTTGCGGGACATAATTTAGCACTACCAAGCACTGTGGATTGATTATTTCAACCAAATAACGGAAATTGTTTGGAATCGGATGAATTGTTAGAAAAGTACGGTTCATGCCTAGAAAGTCTATTACGGTGTATAAAAAAGGAAATTTATGATCATTATCTAAACAGAATAATTTAAAATGAGTTAATTAATCTGACTGGTAGTGCTGACTAAAAATTATAAATATTATTGAAAATATTATTCCATTATTTCGGACTGCACACCGGATGCTGTTCACCAAAAGCAATGACTATAATTTTGCAAATATTAAATCTTTGGAGTATACTAGTAGAAATTAATGAATATTTAGTGGGATTTCTCTCAATGATAACACTGGTTCAGGTTTAGAGGAAGCATGCTTACAAAAGCTTGGTGATCTGATTTTAAATTTTTAGAACTGCAGAGGCCAAGAATATGGAACTCTTTTTATCTTTTATAATTGAAAGATAAAGAAGCAAATATAAAAAGCTGCTACTTAATCCAAAAACATTTTATGTGTTATGTGGATATCACAGTCTCAATCTAGTTCTTGTAGACAAAATCCTCAATTGTTGTACTTTTTGGATTTTCGCATCAAATTTTTTCTTTTTTTGGTGCTTCAACACAGAAATGGTTGATTTTTAGAACTTATGTACAAAATTTGCCGGAAAAGCCTATTTTCAATATACGTTAGGATGCAGTATCGATAGTGTGAAAGAGATTCGCTATCAAATTACAGCAGTGTACAATAAGTTGATGAAAAAGGAAACAAGGTAGTTAATTTTCCTATTTTAACTGCTATGTTTATGCAAACAAAAGCATGGAATTCGATTCTAGACCAGACCTTTATAAATTGTTTCAAGAAATCCGGAATATTACCAGAAGCAGTAGAAAAGCGTAGTAATGTTAATAACAATCCTTTTTGTGGTTTAGATGTAGAGGAGACTGTAATAGAAAACTTAAAGATGGTCTTAAATTGTTAAAAGCAACACTTGATGCAGTTTTTAACCTCACGGCTAATAAGTTAGTAGATTTCAATGTTTAATTTCCCACAAATCATCAGATGAGGACATCATTGCAGAAGTTTCTGGAAATGATGCTATTGAAACTGAAGAGGAAACCGATGATGAGAGCATTGATGTTTCTGACAATGCTACATAACCAAGGTTAACCGAAGCAATGCATGCTATAATTGTAGTTGAAAACTATAGTCTTTATTCTAACTTTGGAGATAATTTGACAAAGGCTCTTAAAGATATAAATTGTGTCATTGATATGGATTTATAAGTCCATAAAAGACAATCTTGAATCAGGGAAGCAAGATGAAGGAAGCAAATTCCAAAGAACTGATGTTCGAGGAAAAAAACTAGACGAATAAGAGTTTTTGGAGCACTTAGGAACAATCACAGAAAAAGGATGAGATTTAATTGAATGACGAGTAACACGAGAATGAAATTTAGCAGATGGCAGAAGAGACGTGAGCTCTTTAGAGCAGTGCTCATTATAGTATTTGTAGAAAAGAGAAAGAGAAGCAACACTACAACGATGTGATAATGGTTGAAGGTTGGCTGCAAGAGCATTGTAACTATGTTTACAATGCATTTTTGCACCTTGTCTAAAAGAGAAAGGGTATCATCAGACGATCCTTGTCTAAAAGAGAAAGGGTATCATTAGAAGATCCTTGTATTCCATACAAGGTTGGATTTGAGAATTATAGAGATAGAGAATAGAATCCGGAGTAAGAAAGTGTCGAGCTCGATAAAGAGATGCAACTTTAGTAGATGCTAATTTTGAAACGGATTTGATATATGGTTTCTAAGAGAGATTCGAAGTATATATTTTATTTACATATATATATATATATATATATATATATATATATATATATATATATATATATATATATATATATATATATATATATATATATATATATATATATATATATATATATATATATATATATATATATATATATATATATATATATATATATTAAAATAAAAAATATTATATAAAAAAAAAAATCAGTTTTTATAAGAACTAAACTCTTTATACCGTACATTTCAATTTTGAATTTAAGTTTTCTATGATGAACTTTCTCAAATGCTTAAGAAAAGTTAGTAAAGAGGAGTATTTTTGATCCATTTCTAAAGTTAAATATTTTGGCTTTTTAAAACCATGCTGATTATTATTTTTTATTAAATTTATTGTCTAAAAGGTGCTGAATGATTTTTTTAATATATTTTTTATAATCTTTTCAAAAACGTTACATATAACGGACGAAAGTGAAACAGGTCTATAGTTATAAGGATCAAGCTTGTTGCAATTTTTAAAAGTTGTATCTATGTTTGAATTTACCCGAGTAAGTAACTTTCTACTCTATTTTACATTATTTTAAAAATAGACAAGATCTCTGGTTGGGGATAAATTTCAGAACAAAAATTTATGAATCTGGTTGTTTATAGTAGGGTGTTTTCCTTGCTCGCTGTATGTTGGATGTATATTTTATGGTTCCAACTATAATAATAATAATAATAATAATAATAATAATAATAATTTTACTTCTCAATCGAAATCAAATTAATAAATTTTTATTTGAGTATATATCTAATGAATATAACGTTTATCTTTTGCTATTATTGCTTTTTCTATATTACTGTATTTATAAAACTATAAATACTTTTATTTTATACTATGTTTTTTTAAACTTTATTACAATTTTATTATTATCATCATTAATTTATCTTTGTTTTAGAAGCCTTTTCAATAATTATAGTCATAATGATTCCATTGTAGTAATAGTTTTATGGTAAATGTCATAATTTTTGCAAATTTTATGTTTATTTTGAGAATTTCTGTCATTTTTATAATCATTAGTTATAATTTTTATTAAAGTTATCATATTATAGTTACTACTTTTAATGATTTTTTATTCATATTATTATTATTATTATTGTTATTATTATTACTATTATTATTATTATTATTATTATTATTATTTTTTGAGTGACACCTAACCTTAATTACGTGAGTTTTTGTCTGCGTAGATTGCGTGAATGTAATCCACACTTATCTTGTAGATGTTATCTACGTTTATTTTTCAGATCTCAAATTTCTTCTTCAATAATTTTGATAGTTTTTTTTTCGTTAAACATTTTCTTTAAATCCCTGAATATAGGGCATGCTGATTATAGGGCATGCTGATTATAAGGCATGCTGATTATAGGGCATGCTGATTATAGGGCATGCTGATAGGGCATTTTAGCGCATAAAATGCTCTGTGATTTGTTTTGTAACTTAATGAAAGTTTAAACTTGTTTTAATTGGTTGAAAAAACATTTTAATAATGTTGACTAGTTTATACTTACTTTATGCTCGGTACTGTTTATTATTTAAACTTATTTTTTATTTAATAATTGTTTATTACTTTATTTAGTAACTGTTCATAAATTATTTAGTTTATTTTTATATTTCTAGTTCAAAAGATGAAGTACTCCTTTTACAAAAATCAACAGTTTGAACTTATAATAAAGCAATGCATATCAAAAAAAAAGTTATTTGAGGATCCTGAATTTCCTGCTTCAGATACGTCGCTCTTCTTTTCAAAACATCATACGTTTACGGCAGTTTGGAAAAGACCTGGAGTAAGACTGTCATTTTATATATGTTTTTTATAAATACATAGCAGTTTTCTTCAGTATTGGTTGCGAGAAAATAAAATTAAATTATGAATCTAAAATCATAATGAGAAATTGTTATTAATAAATTGAAAATTTATTAAACATTTTTTTAATGCTTTAAGAGCTTTTTTTTAAACGCTTGTTTTATTATTAAACTCATTTTAGAAACATTTCAATTAACTTTACAAAATTTTGCACTTTTTTTACAAGTCCAAAATGCTTAAACGCTTTATGTAAAATATTTTTAGTTTTTTTTTTATAGAATTATCTGCGGGTTTTGAAAAGCTTCATAAACAGCTACTTTTAATTGAATATTTTTTTAAAAATAAAATTTTAGTTAAACATAAACAATTTCTATTACTCTGCAGTACTTTTTAAATAATGCTTTCAAGAATATGATCATTATTTTGGATAGCAGTATGAAATATCACAACTAAGTAATGCTTCAAATAAACAAAACATAATCTTTGAAATGTTGTTAAGTAAATTATGTTAGACTAAACCTCTTAAAATATTATTCAAGCTGTTTATGAAGTTACATTCAAAATTTGAAATATAAGCGTGGAATCTTCATCACGAAAGTGACAAAGCAAAAGAAAAAAACACCACAGAACAACTTTTTTAATTCCTTAGAACGTTGAATTACATTAAACGAATAAAATTTGGTTGACCTTAATTGTATTAACCTAATACAGTTCGTATGTTCGTACCTAATACAGTTCGTATGTTCGTTCCTAATACAGTTCGTATGTTCATACCTAATAAAGTTCGAATGTTCGTACCTAATACAGTTCGTATGTCCGTACCTAATACAGTTTGTATGTTCGTACCTAATACAGTTCGTATGTTCGTACCTAATACAGTTCGCATGTTCGTACCTAATACAGTTCGTATGCAACATAAAAACTGAACTACTGATTAAAACGGAACAAACTTGAACTTGAATATTGTTAAACATGTTTAAACTTAAAGATCGTTCAACTTTATCATGTTTCAACATTCGTAAAACAGTTGAAGGTGCAATGCGAAAAAGCTAACAAATAGAAATAAAATAAATTGTAAAAAAAAAAGAAATTAAAAACTATTTAAATTAATTTAACAAACTAAAACTTTATAAAAATAGACTTTAGAGCCTTTAGAGACTTAAGAACTGCAATATTAAGGTTTAGAGACTTAAGAACTGCAATATTAAGGTTTAGAGACTTAAGAACTGCAATATTAAGGTTTAGAGACTTAAGAACTGCAATATTAAGGTTTAGAGACTTAAGAACTGCAATATTAAGGTTTGAACGCTTCAGATCCAAAAGTTTAGAGTTTAAATCATTTTGAAACTTTCAATAAAAAATCATAAATAATTTATCTTTTCTGATGTTTTAATTTTTAATCTGTTGCTCGTTATTGAAATATATCTTCGTAATAAGTATGTTTAACAATTTATTTTCTATTCCTCGTATTCTATAATGTCATTTTCAGTATGCTTGATATAAGCGTAATACCATGATATTAATTTCTTTGAAGTGCCTAAAAAATTTAAACTTATAATAAGTTAATGCTTTAGAGAGTTTTTTTTAGACACCACTTGATAAAATTTGAAAACATTTAGTTGAGACTTGATTGAAACTTAATGATAATAGACAGCACAATTAAACTTATCTACAATGGTTTTAAATATTTAACTAGCTATATTGGTGGCAACGTGACACAGCTCATTCTCTTGATTATCATTGCTATATTTTTGTAGTTTCATTATTAAGTCATTTTCGTCAAAATTTATATAAAATTTTAGGTTAGAGATTTCATACTTTTAAATAATTAATGATGTAATATGACTATTAAATAAGGATTTCATACATTATAATTATTAAGAATTTCGTACATAAGAAATTTGAGCTTCTCGTAAAATGACCAAAAATCTGCCAACACTTATTTTCCACTATTAAATGAAACGGATCAGTTTGAATTTGGAAAGTTAAAACACACTTGTACTTTTCTGAAAATAAACTTGTAGCATCTTTTAACGTTGTAATTAATGCATTAGCTATTCGAACAGACTATGTATATTTATTTTATTTGTTATACTGGATTTTATTTTCATTAGTTAATGTTGTAAATTCTCTAAATAACTTTGCTTTTCATCATCTAGATTAGCTGCATTACTAATCCTATTATTTTTGTTAAGCATTACTTTTGAATTAGATTTTTGATTCCATTACTTCACCCAAGTTTAGTAAGTAAGTCCTACCAAAATATTACACTTTTAATCATTCTAATAAATATTAATAAGCTTCACCATATCAGCAGAAACAGTTCGGAAAATAGCTGATGCTTCCAGCAGAGGTGGTTTTATGAAAAATATTAAAAACTAAAAGACTACTGTATTTGTTGTTTTCTGAATGAAAATCTTGATAATTTGAAAGGTTTTTTTTTTAAGTAGATAATAGCTAATTTTTTGATTGACGTTGTGCAATAAGTTCCAATAAAGCTTTAAACTCAATGAAATCAAAAAGTGAAATTCAATAAAATCAAAATCAAACCACATTGAACTTAATAGAATAGATTAATTTAAATAAATAAACACTTTTTGAATAAACAACACTGTCATATAAATTACAAATCCGGGTGTCCTATAAAGGGGAAAAACATGCCATTATCTTGTTCACCAAATATATAACGCAGAATCATTTGAAAATTTGTTAAACATCGTTTCTAATGTTTCTTCAATATGTGAACTAATCAAAGAATCTGGAACTTGATAATCTAGACAGACCGTAATAACATAGAGGATTGGTCCTTTTTAGTCTAATGACCGCGAACACAACCATACCAGATTAGTAATTACCATCATCATCAGCACCAATCAAGATTTCTCTAAAATATTTAACACTTTTTTGTAAATGCAATTTATCAATTAAAACAGCGCAGTCAGCACTTATATCTGCTCTATCTTTAGCACTAATGTCAAAACTAATGTCAACACTAATGTCAGCACTAATGTCAGCACTAATGTCAGCACTAATGTTAACGCTAATGTCAATACTAATACTTTGATTAAAAATTATTTTTAACATAATTAAACCTTTTAATTCAAAACTAGAACTCTAACCACTGCGCCATAGCTGCTCTATATTTTCTAACTAACTCATTAATAACACACTCAGATAATATTAAAAAAAAAAAAAAAAAAACTGAATTCTGTTAAAACATTAGGGGCTGTTGATAAAAACCTATGTATAATAATTACTTTTAAGCTAAAAAAAATGATATTTACAGCTTAAATCATTTAAATTTACTAATAAATTTCAAATGTTATATACGTGAGTGATTTATGGGTAATCAAAAGTCCTAGATTTTTGGGAATGTCTAAAATTAGTCTTTTGGTACTTAAGATAGAGGATAGCTTTGAAAACTAGAATTTAACATTTGACCAAAAAAATCTTATCAAAAAAATTTGTTCTTCGGAAGCAAAACTAACAAAATTAAAATAAGTTTCTATGGATATATAAATAAAAATGACCTATTAAAAGTACAGCATAGTCAGATAAATATATTTAACATTCCAACTTGGTTTCCAGACAATCCGAACCATTTACCTTCTATACTAGACCTATGCATAGGTATCTCGAGGGGGAGCGAGTAGTTTTAGTTGGCAAATTGGACACTGGAGTCGGCAAAATTGGATCCTAAAGTTAGCAGTCAGCAACGAAGACTTTTTTTTTTTTAATTTTTTATTTTTTTATTAGATCTTAATCAGGAAAAAAAATTTTCTTACTCGGCAAAATAAAGACACGTCAACCCCCTTTTGAGATCTCTTAGAGACGGCCCTAGATTTATGTCTTGTTTCTGATCCTAGTCAGTGCTCAGTTTCTCTACATTTACTCTTAGATGCTTCTGAACACGGTTTCATATCTCTTTAAAATTCTTATCTCATTTTTCTTTATTTTTACAAACTCCCTATCATCGTACGAATCTAATGCTAATTAGGACTTATTCCTTGATTATTCCTTGATTTTCTTCGTGATAAACCTAGGGTAGAAATATTACGTCTTCCTGCTGACAAATGTGCTTTTTATATAACTTCTTGGATTCAGGTTGGGATGGAATCTTTTATTCCCTCTCGACAATTCCAAGTCAAGCCTTACTCTTCTTCATCATTTTTCTTTCATTGTGCTCCGGCAATTTCTAAGATAAGATTATTTGTTATTAGATGTTTCATCATGGAGTCACGAATTATACGTTCCATTTGTTTACTTATGACTGATGTAAGCGATATTGGCCGATAATTGCATGCGATAGATTGACTTCCGCTTTTGTGTAGTGAAGTAACATTTGCTTGGCTCCATTGCCTCGGTAATGAACTTAAACTGAAAATCTTCACGAAAATTATTTTTAGTGTAATACAATATGATGTTGCACATTTTTTTAGAACGTATGGACTTACGGCATCAATTCCAATCAATTTGTAAATATTTAAATTTTTTAGTTTCTGTAATATTGTGGTTTCACAAAAAAGAAGATCTGAGTTATCGTTTGCTTGAGTTAAAAATTGGTTCTCAAATTTATCAAACTCATTATTTATATTATTTGTGAAGACTGATTGAAAGTGTATGTTAAATATATTAGCTATTGTCGCTTTGTTGGTGATTAAATTGTTGTGATTGTCTTGTATTGATTTGACACTCGAGTTTAATTAAACATACGAAAAGAAGTTTTTAGGTTCGTTTTTTATCTTACTTAATAATGACAATTCGAATTGCAAAATCTTACTCTTTATATGGTGAGATAATTTTTTGCATATTTTTTGATATTCTTTTTTTTTTAATTACTCTGTTTATTGTTGTACTCGACATCTTAGATACTAATTGAAATTTGTACCATGCACGATGTTTGTCCTGAACAAGTTTTTTTGTATATGAATCAAACTACTTTGGTCTGTTTATTTTTTGCTTGATTAGTGTTATAATAGG